ATAGCCGGGTCAGACCCAATTGTTATGAGGCAGCTAGTGGTGCCGCAGCGGTACTGAGCGGAGTTGCTCCAGATATCGCACGATATTCACTATCCGGACATTTGGGGGTCAGTCGCACCAGGTACCGACTGACCCAAAGTTTATTTTGGCCAGGAATCAGACAGGAAGTCCGCAAGTATTGCAGTACTTGCGATACGTACCAGAGGATAGGGAAAAGGGGGGACCGGCGGAAGGAAAAACTGCACACGCTACCCATAATTGAAGAACCTTTTAGTAGAATAGCAGTGGATTTAATAGGCCCACTACGGAAACCTAGCCCTTCTGGCAAGAAATAGGTATAGGTATAACATATATTGCACTGTGTCATAGAGTTTTGCATCACAAAATTTTGCATATAATCTCTTCGGTCAGCATATGTGTCAGTGAGAGGATAGCACTGCATAACTTAAGGGTTGTCTATCCCATGCCACTGGTGTGGTTCCGTTTGTCATATTTTGGAATGGGATCTGTAGGTGGTATGAGCCTATTGGGGGAGGGGGGAGGAAGTGGGGAGAGGGTGGAAAGGGGGGGGATTGAGAGGGGGTTTCTCCGGTTTATGTTGAACCAATGTCAGTAAGGTCCATCAGGTTCGCACCTCGGGTTCATCCCGTAGTTCCCATTTCTGTCTCGTGTCCCTTAGCTACCGTCGTTATATCTATGTCTCTGTATGTTCGTGTGTACTCTCTTCTGTCTTCTAGTCTTTGGCTCTTTTGGCCCTGTTCTCCCAAACCCCCCGTTTCCAGGACTGACGTTTTGTTATGAGGGCAGTGTGCGTTTCGTAGCTCCCCACTGTTGAGATATACTTAGTTAGTTCTTGCATAGTCGCTGTGGATGTGGAAAGCCAGTTTCTGGCGATGTGTGTCAAGGGGGCAATTTGGATGTGGTATATCAAGTATTTATCAGCTGGGGAGTATTGGTCTTCGGACATAAACAGTAGGAGGGAGGCTGGAGAGTTGGGGACTACAATGTTGGTATGTGAGTAGATGAGGGAGAGAACCACTTTCCAGTAGCTCTGTATGATGTCACAGCCACACCAGATGTGTAGGAATGTGCCTGTGTCTCTATGGCAGCGCCAACAAATGTTTGGTTGTGATGGCAATATCTTAGCCAGGCGTGTGGGAACCATGTACCACCTGTAGGCAATTTTGCGCATGAGTTCCATGTGAGCTGCGCAGGTTGACCTGCCTTTGTAACTGTTGATGGCTTTGAGCCAGGAGTTCTCGGGGATTTGGCGGCCCATATCTGCTTCCCACGCTTTGGCCCACGGGAGGTGACGGGAGTTCTGTGTCAGTGTTCAGGAGTGTGTAGATAGCAGACATGGGCCCCTTGGTAGGTGCTCCTGCGATTAAGCGTTTCTCAAAGTGTGTAAGGTGGTGTGTTTGGGGGTCTGGTGGTGGGATCTTTACATGCGTGAGCCACCAAGATATCGCAAGGTCATGAAATGGCAGCAGTGTTCCCTTATTTTGCAAGTCACGCAAGTGTGTAATTCCACATCTGTTCCATATCTTGAAATTGAACTCAGGGATCAACTCCGCCAGTGCTCATGGCCATTGAAATAGGGTGGCAACCACATAGACGCGCGGGTGAGGTGTCCCATATTTTCAGGGTAACGGTTGTGGTCGGGAGCGCTTGCGCCAGGTCTGGCCTTTGGGGGGGTAGCCACATCAGGGTGGATATGATGAGCCGGTTTGCCCAAAAGCTCTCGATAGCTACCCACTGCGGTGGGTCTGTGTGATGGTGGGCTGCCACTAGGCTGGTCAGGATTGATGCTCTTTAGTACCCAACAAGGTTAGGTGGGCCCATGCCACCTACCTGTGTGGTCCTATAGAGTGTTTTCGTGCCTATTCTGGGCTTTTTTTTATTTGTTTTTGCAGCGCTTGGAAGTAGCGTGTGGGGGCTATCAGTGGGACTGTCCTAAATAGGTATTGCAGCTTAGGCAGGATTACCATTTTTACAGCAGCTATGCGTCCTGACCAGGAGATGTATTTATTTCTCCATTGTTGGAGGCTTTCTGCTATTTCTTTGCTCAGTTTGACATAGTTGAGATCGTAAAGTTTTGGGAGATGATGCGGGAGTCGAACACCTAAAAAGGTGAGGTAGTCTGTCCTCCAGTCATATGCAAATTCCTTCTCAAGGTCTGATTTGTAGGTGCCCTACATCCTCACCTCCATGGCCTGTGTTTTTGTGAGATTAAGCTTATAATACAAACACCTGCTGTAGGAATGCAGTATCTCGTGAAATGCTGGAAGCAACGTCTTGGGATCTGTGATGGTGAGGAGTATGTCATCAGCGAAAAGGTTTAATTTAATTTCCCTGCCATCTATTCACACCCCATGTATACAATTGTCATCCCTGATCAGAGCCAGTGCCAGGATATACAATATGGGTGACAGGGGGCACCACTGCCTGGTCCCGTTTGTTATACAAAAGGGGGTTGACCTAAAGCCGGCATTGAATACTCTAGCCGTGGGTTTATTATAGACCACAGCCAGGAACTGGGGAGGGAAATTAAATTTTTCGAGGACCGTCTGGAGGAAAAACCAGTGTAGGTGGTTGAAAGCCTTTTCGGCGTCTAGAGGAGTATGCTATTGGTTGACATTCGGTTCATGCCTTGTAAAAGGGCGAGCGCTTTGCGTGCCCCGTCTGCCCCCTGCCTTCCTTTGATGAAACCTACTTGGTTGGGGTGGATCAAGGCGGGGAGGATACCTTTTAACCTATTCACGTAAACTTTCGCCATTATTTTAATGTCAATATTTAGCAAGGAGATGGGTCGGAAGTTGGCACATTTCATGGGAGGCTTTCCTGGTTTGGGTAGCGTGGCTACATTGGCCTCCAGCATCTAATGCGGAAGCTTACTCTCAGTAGTTACTGTTGCAAATAGTTTTGCAATCTGGGGGGAGAGGATGGAGGTAAACTTTTTGTAATACAGATTGGGGAAACCATCAGGGCCTGGCGATTTGTGAGGAGGCAAGGTCGCTATCACTTGTTCTATCTCTTGTGGTGTAACCGTGTCCGTCATTTGGTCATCTGTCAGTCTGGGGAGAGTCACCTGGTCTAGGAATTGGGAAATTTTGTTTGGTGTGGGCTGGTGTGTCGCTGCATCTTCCCATAGGTTATACAGTTTGCTGTAAAATTGTGCGAAAGCATTGCAAATATCTTGGAGTTTGATAACTTTTTTGCCCTTGTCAGTCAGTATATATCCTATTTTTTTTTTTAGTGTGTGCGTTAGCTGTGCGGAATCTATTGGCTAGTAAGGCGCTCGCTTTGTCACCCATGACGTACTGTTTTGTTTTTAGCGTATGTAGGGTGCGTGCCACACGTGCTATGTAGATATCGTTAAGTGCTTTCTGGGTTTGCTCAATTTGGGACCCCCTAGTTGCGGTCGGGTGTAGGAATTGTTGGGAGGTAAGGTCTCGCAGGGTGCGGAGGAGGCAGAGGGTTTTTGTTTGGGTCTGTTTCTTGGTGTAGGAGGCTCTGCGTATGAAAATCCCTCACATGACAGCTTTCTGTGCTATCCATGTGAAGGAGGTGTGTGTTTTGGGAGTATCGTTAGTGGTAAAGTATTGTAAGAGTTCCCTCTCAGCTTCTTGTCTGAAGGATTTGTCTGATAGTAACCCTGTGTTGAGTCTCCATGGGTTGCAGCCACGTAAGTGAAAATCGTTGTGTAGGGATATGGTGACCGGGCTGTGGTCAGACCAAACTATGTCTCCCATGTCACACCTCTGAATCAAATTGAGGGAGGAGCTCTGAGTAGGATCTGTGGGCTTTGGAATAGTACGAGTAGCTTCTGTCAGAGGGGTGTAAAGTACGCCAACTGTCAAAGTTGAATTGCAGTAGCAATTTCGTCAGGGCTTTGCAGTGGGGTGTAAACGTCTTTTGTCGTGTGGAGTGGGTCTGCGTGGACGAGTCTAGTTTGGGGTCAAGGAAATGGTTGATGTCTCCACAAATTACGGTCAATCCTTTCTGTATCGTGGTCACCTTAGTCAGTACTTTATGCAAAAAGTTACGTTGGTGCTCATTCGGAGCGTACACGTTAACCAAAATATACATCACATTATTCAACATACATATTAAAATGAGGTATATGCCCTGTGCATCAGATATTTCCTGTAGTACTTCAAAGGCCACTGACTTGTGAATGCATATGGATACCCCACTTGACTTAGTGGCATAGGTGGAGTGGTATTGATTGGGGAAGTGTTTTACACCAAATGTGGGTATACAGGCGTTAGGGAAATGTGTCTCCTGGAGGCATAATATATCTGTGGTATGCTTTTTGGCTTCGTTCAGAAGCATGTGCTGTTTGTGGGGCATGTTAAGCCCACACACATTGTGGGAGTAGATCTTCAGGGTGGTATATGGGGTTGGTGCTTATTCTGCCGGAATGGCACGGTAGATTGGATCCACATGTGTCCACCTCTGGGCATCAATATGAGAGCTAGGGCGGGACGCCTAGGGTTATGAGACTTTGGGTGGGTTGAGTTACCATCTGAAACAGTGGGGGCTCCGGTGTGAACCATCTGTATGGACTGTAAATGAGCATAGTGTGGCATTGTGAAGCAGAAGGTGGGGAAGGGAGATAAAAACCAGGGGAACAAAATCAGCGAAAGTATATACATTTCAGACCTTGGTGGGTACAAGGTACAGGTGAGCTGTACGTGTGGGGGGGGTGAAAGCAAAGATGGTGGTAGGTAGAAGGCCTGAGCCGGCATAGAGTCGGCAATGCGGTTACGCCGTAGGCGGGTGATATAGTATGTACACTGATACAACAACAACAATATTGGCTATGGGGAAACATAATAACTGCCACACTGCACTGCTAACGTGTGGCACACATTAAGTAGCAGAATATAGCAACGAAGTAGGCCTATGGCATAAGCTTAATACACTGTGTGGGGCAGAGGCCTCACTCAACGTGCATGTTTGTAGCGTTCTTAAATACTTGCGGGCCAAATTCAAGCTTAAGACCAGTCCCTTTCAAGGCGTTTGGGGGACGGTGCGTCTGCTGCATGTTCAGCTTGGCTCAGGTTCCATCGTTGTAGTAGTTGTAAACCGTCTTCTACCGACATGAGCACTGCGGTGGCACCATTGCGCGTGACAAGCAGACGGAAAGGGAATCTCCAGCGGTAAGGTATGCGATATTCCCTGAGGAACTCGGTAACTTTCTGGAATACTTTCCTGTGGCGTAATGTGGCCGCCGAGATGTCCGCAAAAACTCGCACTTTGGAGAATTCTGGTGGTAAGTCCTTCGCTGTGCGGCTACTGCGGAGAATCAGCTCCTTCACATGAAAATAATGAGCTTTAGGTAGAGTGTCTCTTGGTAAAGAGGCAGCAATGTGTTTGGGCTTTGGGACCCTGTGTAGGCGGTCCAGCAGTAACATGTCGACCAGGATGTCTGATAATAGTGCCTTGAAGAAGCCGTTTACAAAGGCTTCCAGCACCTCTTTCGGGATGCCGCGGAGTCGCAGATTGCTTCGGCGTGACCTATCTTCTAGGTCCATGAGCTTCACCTCATATTTAGCAAGTTGGGATTCAAGGGCTTGGATCCTGTCAATAGCTTGGTTGTGGGCATCCACAAAGTTGTCCACCTTTGTCTCCATGTGCCCCGTTTCCTGCCCCAAATCGTGTAGGTCTCGCTTGATCTCGGCCACACTTTCTTGCCAGGTAGCTATCAGCTTGGTTGATTGTTTATCCAGGGCTGCTTGTAGTAGCGAGGCTGTAAGCCCCATTTCGGATTGTGTGTCCAGATCTGAGCGGGGGCTGCTCCCGCCGGAGTACCCAGTGCCATCTTTAAGGCCTGGTTCGGCTTGCTGTGAGGCTGGCAGGTTTTTTGGGGCCAAAAAATTAATTTTATCACCTTTGTCGGTGTGTCTCTGTGTCTTGGAGTGTGGCATGACTGCTTGTGTGGCTATCAGTCCCAGCTGTGTGCCGGATTGGGTCGGATTGCCTGGCTCGTGTTGCGGAGCTCGGAGCTCAAGCGGCCATCTTACTCCGCGGTCAGGACACCAAGAAATATATTTTCACTGTAGACTATGCCACTAGATGTCCAGAGGCGGTGGCTCTGACCAATATTCACACTAAAACGGTCCCCGAGGACCTCATGCAGATTTTCTCCCGGATGGGGTTACCCAGGGAGATCATCGCGGACCTGGGTACTCAATTTACCGCAGAGGTCACCCAGCACCTCTGGAAGTTCTGTGACATTAAGCCTATCATCAGTGCCCCCTACCATTCCCAGACCAATGGGCTCTGCGAACGGTTCAATGGTACATTGAAACAAATGCTCCGAACCTTCGCCGAGACCCACAGGGACTGGGAGCGATTCCTGCCCCACTTCCTCTTCGCTTACCAGGAGGTGCTGCAGGAGTCGACTGGGTTTTCCCCATTCGAATTGTTATTTGGGAGGAGAGTAAGAGGGCCCCTAGACCTTATTAGAGAACATTGGGAGGGAGACAAGAGCGCAGACAGTACCTGCATCATACCATATGTGTTGGCATTCCGAGACTGCCTAGAAGCATTGACTAGGACGGTAAAGGAAAACCTTCAGGCGGCTCAGACTTGCCAGCGCACATGGTATAATCGGGGCACCAGGGACCCTGGCTTCCAGGTTGGGCAGAAAGTTTTAATTTTAAAACCTGTCCAGCATGATAAGTTACAGGCCGCCTGGCAGGGTCCTTATAGAGATGTGACACCATTTATATAATTGGCCCCTGCGCAGGAACTGGAGGGCGACACATGCTCCATGTGATCATGATGAAGCCCTACCAGGAACACTGAGAGGAGGTGACTGCTATCTGTGTGCCCAACTCTGACAAGTTTGACAGCCTTTCCCTCCCAGACCTGCTGGGGGACGGTCGGTTGTCTGGGGGTTTAGGAGAAGTTGCGCTGGGAGACCGGCTAAGCCCTCAGGAGCGTACAGAGGTACAGCAGCTGCTTAGAGAGAAGCAAGATACCTTCTCTAAAATACCTGGATACACTCCACTGGCCACTCACCGGGTGGAAACCCCAGGGCAACTACCCATGTGCCAGACCCCCTACCGCATCCCTGAAGCAGTGCGGGAGAATATGCGCAAGGAGATCGATGAGATGCTCCAACTGGGGGTGATTGAGCCATCGGACAGCCCCTGGGCTTCCCCAGTAGTCCTCGTACCTAAGCGGGATGGTACGTGTGACAGAACCATCTGTCTGTTTATTGCGGTGGATTCATCGGTTTCTGCCCAGTTCGTGTAAATGGCTGTTTCCTATAGCCCAGCCATACGAATGACTGTTTTTCCCGAACAAAACTACCGAACGGACGGCCACCCAGGAGAGAAGTATGCTGCTGGTTAACCTATTGATCCCAATTAGAACGTTGTGGTTAACCGCAGACACTTCTCAATTAAACCAAATTCAGGGTGGTCATCGTTCCTATGTCGACCACGAGGCAGCGGCCATTTTAAAACACGCAAAAGCCCAGCGGTGTTTGGCTCTATTTTCATGGAACTAAAAACGGACACTTTTTCTACCGAACACCGTTGAAACAACGGAACGCCTGGCTGCCTCCATGAAAGCGTACGAACACTGGCCGTTCGGGAGTTTTGAAACACACGAAAGGACTTAACCCAGATAGCCTTCCCATGGAGTCATTCGTATCACGAAAGACTGTAAGAACTTTGACTCCATGGCGATTGAACTATGCGTGTGGGATCTGAGCGCTATTCGCTAATAATATGCATTCAGATCCAGGCTATCTGGGGATATGTGATGCGAATGGGAAATGTTCAGTTATTTTAAAGTTATGTATTTTTATGTATTTAGTAGTATTGTATTTCAGATGGCGATTCGTCTTTGTCCTGGAGATAATTGAATTACTTCTCAATTATCTCCAGGGCAGAGGGGAGGAAGCCATATTGCATTATAGGTAAAAGCTGTGACTGTATGTCTGGAATGTCTTCATGTCCATCTGTAAGTTCAGTCTCCCATTTGATCCCCTAGGGGAGTGTCCACCAAGTGGGAGACCTGCATAAATACGTGCAGGTAGCCCACAGTAAAGCCAGATCCTGTTTGACCCTCAATGTGGAGCTTCTGTCTCGTTATTGGGGGGATTTCTTCTTTGCGTTTAGAGACTGCTGGATGGAACCGAAAGCCGCTTGGTGGATATCGTTGTTCGGCGGCTAGCAGCAGTTCGTGGATTTCCGTTCGGGAGTTTCGAGCCTTTCACGGATCCCGGTCGGGAGATTACTGCTTCCCCTGGTTATGGTTCGTGTATTACAAATGATGCAAACGGATTACTGAATTTGCGAAAGGGTAAGGTGAACTAAACGGTGGTTTCTCTTAAAGACACCAGGGGTGTCTTAACAGTACGACCTGTTTCTGCGTGGACTACCGGAGGTTGAACGAGAAAACAGAGTCCGACGCCCAGTGGCGTCGCTGGGGGGGCCAGAGGGGGCCATGGCCCCCCCTACATCATGCTGTGCCCCCCCTTGGGCCCCCCAAATGCCAGCAAGGCAGCAACCTGCTGGCCATGGGCTTCCCTCGGACTGTAAAAGCCTGTTACAGTCCGAGGGAATGCAGTGCTGAGGTGCTGGGGGCTGTCTGTGGCCGGAGGGAGCACTGATTGGCTCCCCGGCACAGGCTCCGCCCCCAAACGAAGCCCCGCCTCCCGTCGATAAGCCCCGCCCCAGCCGTAAAGCAGCAGCCCAAGCTGCTTCAGAAGATGGCTGCCTGACCCCCAGCAACATCCTCCAGTGACAGGTAGGCTGGGGGGGGGTGTTCACACACACATTGCCCCCCATACTCCCCCCATACACACACATTGCTCCCCATACTGCCCCCCATACACACACATTGCCCCCCATACTGCTCCCCATACACACACATTGCCCCCCATACTACCCCCCATACACACACTGCCCCCCATACACACACATTGCTCCCCATACTGCCCCCATACACACACATTGCCCCCATACTGCTCCCCATACACACACATTGCCCCCCATACTGTCCCCCATACACACACACTGCCCCCCATACACATACACTCTACACACATACACTATCCCCATACACACA